TAGCTCAAGATTTTTCACATGTTGTAAACAATTGTCATAGGCATTCTGAAAAACAAAGGAGACAGTGAAAATACAAGTAATGAAAATAAACTCTGTGCCATTTTTTTTTTTTATGTCTATGTTTATGGAATTAATTCATGTCTAATTATGTGTCTCTAAGAGATTTGTGGATATGAAATTCAAAATTTAAAGTCTATGCTATCTAGACCACATATTCCTAAATTTTGTTTGGCCGTAAAGAATGACTAATAATTAAAATCCAACACATCCTGGCAAACATGTAATGCACAAAAAAAAAAAAAAGAAACAAGGGTGTAAAAGTGGTAATATCAAAAAAGATATCTTCAGGATGGACAATTCTGAAAATCCAATTCACTAAGTATGTGTCCTAGACAAGATCAGTCAAAGAACAGAAAGGACAGCTGTACTAATATACACAAATGACTGGTGTATGGTTGTTATAAAAGTAAGGAGATAATGCAGGCAGGAGACAAATCAGATGGGTCCTTCAATGGCGGGTAACGGTCAGCATAGGTAAAGGAATAAAAAGGATGCTTACGTCTACCAGGCGAATGCGTTATTCCTGATGTTGTAGATAGTCATTTGTTCCATAGCACTCGTGACAGTGGAATCTTCTGCCACCATTTAGATTAGTATTTATGTAAAATGTCTTGGGACCTCCATAATTTCCCTGGTACTATGAAAAGTCCTACTGAATATTGTATGTGCATTTTAAATCTCTATCAGTGCCCTCTCTGCTTCTGTTAATAGCATCAAGGCCACTCTACTGTGGGAAAAATTTGCCTCTGCATGTCATGAGAAGAAAAGAGTGTCCCCTGAATGTAGAAAAAAATGGTAATGTCCGGTCGATGTAGATGAAGAGAATCCTGAAACAGTATCACTTCCTTTCCCTTAGACTTCCGTTGCTCTTTCTACATGGCACAGTTCTAGCATTCCAGGTGCTAGTCCTAGGTGAAAGTAGCTACCTCAAAGATCTGAACTGCTTTCAGCTTTCTCCACACTATGCCATTATTATACTCAAAAATCTTCCCCTCTTGGTTTGGTAGGTTATTCTTGTTCTGTATCATTTTGACTCGTCCATGTTTGGTTTTAGCGGCTATTATCTCTCTAGGACCAGATAGCCAAATTCATGCCAAATGTAATCCTGTCTTTAATTTGTTACAAGACTCCATGAACATGCATGCGAAAGTTGCAATAGGTAATATAAGCTCTGGATTGTTAGAACACATTCGGATGTAGCAGTTAAACTCTATCACTGATCTACACATTTGGACATGCATTAAAAACGTAATGAAAGAGTCGATGAGCCATGCGAGTACAGCTTATTGAAGCACCTTTATGGAATTTTTCAAAGACAAGACAAGGGACACTACAACAAACTTGTCAATGTTTCCCGTGATGTGGAAGCAATGATTAGAGGTAACCCTGCAGTTGCTGCTGCATCATAGGACTAAGCTTGCATTTAAAAATCGCATAAAGATATATGAAACAGCCTCGCCTTGCCACACAAAACGGATTGAAAACCATCAAAGAAAAATAGGGTAGGGTGGGGGGGGGGGGGGGTGCGTTTTAACAACAACAAAAAAGCCAGCAACAGTTAGACAGCAAAAACTATATGCAGATTGACGTAAAGCAGTCATTGCAATGTAGAAAGCTAGAATGAAATGATTTATTGTAGTCAGTAAAAAGTGAGGAGATAAAACTTGAACTTTAATCCAAACAGAAGTGCATGTGAGAATTTGTGGCAAGCATGGCCCTTGTTGCCCTATTGTATGTGTAAGTCATGGATCTTGTTGCCCTATTGTATGTGTAAGTCATAGATCTTGTTGCCCTATTGTATGTGTAAGTCATGGATCTTGTTGCCCTATTGTATGTGTAAGTCATGGATCTTGTTGCCCTATTGTATGTGTAAGTCATGGCCCTTGTTGCCCTGTTTTATGTGTAAGTCATGGCCCTTGTTGCCCTATTGTATGTGTAAGTCATCTAGGCAATAATTTATCCAGTTCGTCAATTGATAAATTTAGAAGCTAGCACTGTGACTGTGCTTTCGAGCCTGGCACCACTGTTCTTCTTAAGGGCCTCTCTACTTGGTAAGGGTGGTTTGGGTTACCTGCCTCCACCTGTTCTTGTGAAACATGTATATCATGCTATACTCGTGTCCTAGGTGACACCTCGTGTCTTATCGCTGTGATTAAGATATGCTCTTGTTAATTTAGCTGTTGTTTTAACAGTGTTGTTAATAGTGCTTTGTCGTCAACGTGTCGTTCATGAGACATATTCTGGGCACTCTTCCGAATACCGGTCACAAATTATTCACTGTTAATCCCCACTGCGATTTGAACCTCCGAGTTGTAGTGCATCTGCTTGAAAGTCAAGAAACCAGCCGTATGCATGCAATTTAGTTGGATCTGTAAAACTGATGCACACGGAACACTCAGGTTCTGTAACATGACTGCAGTCCAAGAGACGATCAACAACCAGAAATTTCCGCCTAATTTTCTGTTGGTTAAATCTTATTGGCGTCCACCAACGTTACACTCTGGCGGAGAGTTCTTGTTGTTCGTCCAGTTCTGAATTGCAGTCCTGTTCCAGAACCTTAATGTTGTGTGTGCATTAGTTTAACAGTACCTGATGCACCTTGATGCAGACTATTGGTTCCCTACCTCTTAGGCAGATGCGCTCTGATTTCAAAGTAATTTCCTCAATCAGTCGACTCTTACGACATGCTCTTGAGTAAGCAGTGGGTCTATTATATTCCCCCCCCCCCACACAATGGGGCCCCGGAACCCACACGGGGAATCATTTGACTGGTGCTGAACGCGAAGATGTACAACTTCACTGCTTCCGATTGGTACCACCCCCACCCCCCCCCACCCCCCCCCCGTTTGCCAGAGCAGCTTCTGGTTACTGGAGCCATGTTCAAATCTGTAATGTCTAGTCTTACCCAAAAGACACAGACGTATGAACAATATTAAGTTATGGAAGGACAATTTTGCTTACCTCTGTTGGTTCTGGTCCGACGTTCCATGAAAACACCACGATAAGCCTACAAATGTATACTTGAAAGCTAAGTGTTAGGAGTAGCTCGAAGTAACACAAACGCGCAACTGAGAATCGCAAAGAAAGCTGCAAATAGTATGATTAATGTCGCACAGTTTAAATAGTCCATGCATATTTAATAATCACACATACATGGAGGCAATAATCAGTCCCTGGCCTCCATGTGATCGTGTCGCTAGTTTACGTGTCGCGCCAGCTCCGAAACTGCCAGAGTGCACATAAAAATCGGTCTAGGAAAGACAACGAAATAACTAAATTGGAGTAAACGAATGCGGCAATCTGATTGGCTCCTGCGACCTAATGTGTCTGAAAGCAGATTCAGAAAGCGTGTTTATTATGTTATGTAATAGCCGTCGCCTTGTCAGATGAATGTGAAGTTATTGTGTTGTCGTTATTGTGATGTCTTCCTGTATACAGCTTTCCAAAAATTAATTGGAGGAAGTAAGAGCTAGGGGATTTATCAAACATCAAAAATGAAATGAGGAATGTTAAAGAGGAAGTGCGTTTATGACAGCTGCCCGTGGCCTGAGAAAACTAGGATAGGCAGTATCTCGTCGTCAAAAAAAGTGTAAAGAGGAGACCAGCTCGAAAAAAAGTGTACGCAGCAGTCATGGAAAAAGTGTACGCAGCAATATCCAAATAATCGACTTAAATCATTTCAGAGGCCGAATTTACTGCCACGAAATTTTCTGGAGATGCAGACTAGGGGTATCTAGGCACATGTAGCACGGCTCCAAGTTTCATCAGTCGCCTTTGCTTCCAGACTAAAAAAACTGAAAGTAGGTCATGGCCTTGGGACTCTTTTTTTTTTTTTTTTTTTTTTTTTTTTTAGTTATGTAAATAATCTTTAATTAAAAGTAAAAACAATAATGTATATCAACAAAGTTATAGAAAGCCTAGTGGAAAGCTGTATACTGAAATCTGTCGACAATTGTCCGTGTGCTTGGGTGATGGGCAAAAACTGAAAATAAAGTGTGGCAACTGCCCTGTCCATGTCTCAGTAACATTTTATTGGGCCGTGTTTTCTAATTGTGTGGTGCGGAAATGAAGTCTACCGATGAGATTATGACCTGACCCTAGTGTCCACAGATACACATAAAATGGACCAACTGCTCCCATCACTTTTTTGTGCAACGAAAACCCTATGGCAAAGGTAAATGCTTGGTACACTTGTTTTGGGCATTCGTTCTGCCTTCGGTCGCAGAGCAGTCCCGGTTCCAGCGCTCGCTGTCCCTTTTGGCTGCGCGTGGTGCATCCCGTTAGCGGGCACCTCCCAGCCGGCTTCGGATGTAGAGGGGGACAAGGTGCCGATATTCTGTGTGTGTGTGCCGCAGTTCGCTGCCACGGTCGCGGTGTGAGCGAACGAAAGTGTCCGTTACGGTGGTTCCGACGAAGGTCTCGCTAAAGGCCCGCTCTCTCTCGACGAGTTGCGGGCCAGCATTCGGTAAGCTGGCATAGCTTTTTTCGGTCAGTCCTGCCGGCGCGGCTCGTCGGCAGGCGTCCAGTGGTGTCGCATGCATCACCGGGTTTTGCGGGGAGGACGATGTTCTCCCCGGCCCATGGTGCTCGTGAAAACGTCCAATTCTGTCCGACAGATATCTGGTTGATCCTGCCAGTAGTCATATGCTTGTCTCAAAGATTAAGCCATGCATGTCTAAGTTCACACTGTTCCACGGTGAAACCGCGAATGGCTCATTAAATCAGTCGAGGTTCCTTAGATGACACGATCCTACTTGGATAACTGTGGCAATTCTAGAGCTAATACATGCTTACCAAGCTCCGACCCTCGCGGAAAGAGCGCTTTTATTAGTTCAAAACCAATCGTCGCTGCCCTTCGCGGGGCGCGGCGTTCCCATTGGTGACTCTGGATAACTTTGTGCTGATCGCATGGCCTTACGTGCCGGCGACGCATCTTTCAAATGTCTGCCCTATCAAATGTCGATGGTACGTGACATGCCTACCATGTTTGTAACGGGTAACGGGGAATCAGGGTTCGATTCCGGAGAGGGAGCATGAGAAACGGCTACCACATCCAAGGAAGGCAGCAGGCGCGCAACTTTACCCACTCCCGGCACGGGGAGGTAGTGACGAAAAATAACAATACGGGACTCTATCGAGGCCCCGTAATTGGAATGAGTACACTTTAAACCCTTTAACGAGGATCTATTGGAGGGCAAGTCTGGTGCCAGCAGCCGCGGTAATTCCAGCTCCAATAGCGTATATTAAAGTTGTTGCAGTTAAAAAGCTCGTAGTTGGATCTCAGGTGCAGGCGGGCGGTCCGGCTCGCGCCGGTTCACTGCCCGTGTCCTGCCCTACCGTCTGCCGGCTCTCTCCCGTGGGTGCTCTGCTGAGCGTCCCGGGTGGCCGGCGCGTTTACTTTGAAAAAATTAGAGTGTTCAAAGCAGGCCTCGGCTGCCTGAATAATGGTGCATGGAATAATGGAATAGGACCTCGGTTCTATTTTGTTGGTTTTCGGAACTGGAGGTAATGATTAACAGGGACAAACGGGGGCATTCGTATTGCGGCGTTAGAGGTGAAATTCTTGGATCGCCGCAAGACGAGCTACTGCGAAAGCATTTGTCAAGAATGTTTTCATTAATCAAGAACGAAAGTCAGAGGCGCGAAGACGATCAGATACCGTCGTAGTTCTGACCATAAACGATGCCGACTAGCGATCCGCAGGAGTTGCTTCGATGACTCTGCGGGCAGCTTCCGGGAAACCAAAGTGTTTGGGTTCCGGGGGAAGTATGGTTGCAAAGCTGAAACTTAAAGGAATTGACGGAAGGGCACCACCAGGAGTGGAGCCTGCGGCTTAATTTGACTCAACACGGGAAAACTCACCCGGTCCGGACACTGTAAGGATTGACAGATTGATAGCTCTTTCTTGATTCGGTGGGTGGTGGTGCATGGCCGTTCTTAGTTGGTGGAGCGATTTGTCTGGTTAATTCCGATAACGAACGAGACTCTAGCCTATTAAATAGTTCGCCGGTCCCTCGATGCGCCGGCGCAACTTCTTAGAGGGACGAGTGGCGTTTAGCCACACGAGATTGAGCAATAACAGGTCTGTGATGCCCTTAGATGTCCGGGGCCGCACGCGCGCTACTTTGGGGGGGGGAGGGGGGCCCTGGGGGGCCTTGGGTTTTTTTTGGGGGGGGGATCCTGCGATCCCCGGACTTAAGTGCCGCCGCCCGTCCCCCCCGCCTCTCCGCGGTGCCCGGAACAGCTCTGGGGGGCGGTTTTCCCCCCGGGGGCACGTTTTTTCCCCGGGGGCCCCGTCGAGGCGGGCCCCGTGTCGTTTCCCTCGCAACCTTTCCGACGCCGCCGCCCCGGCTGGACTCGGATTTGTCGGATATCATCGAGGGGGAGCCGGGGGGGGGTGGAGGGACGGTGCGAGGGAGGGGATCGACGGCCCCCTCGGATTGAGGGGGGGGAAGGGGGGAACTCCCTTCTTCGCCCTCTTTCCTATCCCACCTCAGATCGGACGGATTACCCCCTTTAATTTAAAACAAAAAAACTAAGCGGGAAAAAAAAAATAACAGGATTCCCCCCAGTAAAAAGGCGAGTGAAGCGGGGGAAAACCCCACACCCAATCCCCAGTGGTCA